TACCCATCTGACCCCCTCAGAATCCCATAGAGCGAGCCTCGACGCGGCGCGCGCCGTACGGCGCGGTGCGCGCCGTACGGCGCGCGCGTGGCTCGCCCCTTGGGGTGTAGGAGCACCCTTCAGACCCCCTCAGAATCCCATGGAGCGAGCCTCGTCGCGGCGCGCGCCGTACGGCGCGGCGCGCGCCCGTACGGCGCGCGCGGGCTCGCCCCTTGGGGTCCTCAGAATGTAGGAATACCCTTCAAACCCCCTCAGAATCCCATAGAGCGAGCCTCGGCGCGGCGCGCGCCGTACCCCAAGGAGCCAGCCAAGCGCGCGCCGTACGGCGCGCGCCGCGTCGAGGCTCGCTCTATGGGATTCTGAAGGGGTCTGAAGGGTGCTCCTACATCCAGGAGCCCCAGGAGCGAGCCACGCGCGCGCCGTACGGCGCGCCGCGTCGAGGCTCGCTCTATGGGATTCTGAAGGGATCTGAAGGGTGCTCCTACATCCTGAGAACCCCAAAAAGCGAGCCACGCGGGCGCCGTACGGCGCGCGCCGCGTCGAGGCTTGCTCTATGGGGTTCTGGAGTGATCTGGAGGGTGCTCTTACATCCTGAGGACCCCAAGGAGCGAGCCACGCGCGCGCCGTACGGCGCGCACCGCGCCGTACGGCGCGCGCCGCGTCGAGGCTCGCTCTATGGGATTCTGAAGGGGTCTGAAGGGTGCTCCTACATCCTGAGGACCCCCAAGGAGCGAGCCACGCGCGCGCCGTACGGCGGGCACCGCGCCGTACGGCGCGCGCCGCGTCGAGGCTCGCTCTATGGGATTCTGAGGGGGTCTGAAGGGTGCTCCTACATCCTGAGGACCCCCAAGGAGCGAGCCACGCGCGCGCCGTACGGCGCGCACCGCGCCGTACGGCGCGCGCCGCGACGAGGCTCGCTCTATGGGATTCTGAGGGGGTCTGAAGGGTGCTCCTACACCCCAAGGGGCGAGCCACGAACACGCCGCACAGCGCGCACCGCGCCGGACGGCGCGCGCCGCGTCGAGGCTCGCTCTATGGGATTATGACGGGGTCTGAAGGGTGCTCCTACATCCTGAGGACCCCCAAGGAGCGAGCCACGCGCGCGGCGTACGGCGCGCGCCGCGTCGAGGCTCGCTCTATGGGATTCCGGCGGCACTAGGGCCTTCGGTGGAGCTCCCTATGGGGCCACGAAACGTGTGAAGGGTGTGCCGACTTGGGTGTGCGTGACGCATGCAGGCGGCGGCATTGGGGCCTTCGGTGGAGCTCCCTATGGGGCCACGAAGCGTGCGAGGGGTTTGCCGAATTATGTGTGCATGGCGCATGCGGGCGGCGGCAGTAGGGCCTTCGGTGGAGCTCCCTATGTGGCCTCGAAACGTGTGAGGGGTGTGCCGACTTGGGTGTGCGTGACGCATGCGGGCGGCGGCACTGGGGACTGGGGCCTTCGGTGGAGCTCCCGATGGGGCCACGAAACGTGTGAGGGGTGTGCCGACTTGGGTGTGCGTGACGCATGCGGGCGGCGGCATTGGGGTCTTCGGTGGGGCTCCCTATGGAGCCACGAAACATGTGAGGGGCGTGCCGACTTGGGTGTGCGTGACGCACGCGGGCGGCGGCACTGGGGCCTTCGGTGGAGCTCCCTGTGGGGCCACGAAACGTGTGAAGGGTGTGCAGAATTGGGTGGCGATGATGCGATGATGGTGGCGATGACGGCGATGATGATGACGCTGGCGATGGCGATGACGATAAAGATGGTGATGATAACGACGAGGACCACGATGATGGTGATGACGACGATGATGGTTACGATGAATGCTGACGATACTGAAGATGATGAGGGGAGGGAGGAGGCAGCGGGAGGAAGGAAGGGGTGACGCGGGGCGCTGTCCCTTCAAAACGATGACCCAACACCGCATTTTGGTTGGGAAAAAAGCCCCCCCCCCCCCCCCGAAGAGGCCCCCTACAAGCCCCAGGAGGCGCCCGAGAACTCCCAAGCGGCCAAGAGGCCGCGCAGAAGCCCCCAGGAAAACTAACAGAAGCCACAAGAGCCCGCAGAACGGCTCCTAGGACGCTTCAAAACTCTGCCGAGAAGCCCTCGGGAAGCCAACCACGAGACCCCCGCCCTCCTTCATGGCCCCTCTGACCCACAACCCAGGCGCGGCGGCGGGATGGGGCGAAGAAAATTGCATTATGATTCAGTCGCGGCGGCCTCCGGCAAAAAGGCATGCAGGCGAGCGAGGCGGGGGGGGAGCAAGACGAGGAGCTTGCGTGCGACTGGCACGAGGCCCCAGTCACTGCACGGCGGAGCCCACAGGGCTAGCACCGCTTGCAAACGAAACCCTGCCCAGGGCCCTCGCTAGCACCGAAACGCGCGGGCCTCGCCGCCCGCCCGGCGAGCGCGGGGCCCTCGGGAAGCCCGCGCCGAGATTGCCGCCGCGGCATCCGGGCACAGGTCCTGTAAAATTTGAAGGTCAACGACGCTGGGCGCGCCGCGCCCGCGCGCCCCGCCTCAGTTGCCCGAGCCGCGCCAGCGCGCAGCGCAGTCAGGGCCGACCGCGCAAATGAATCCTAGACCCGCCATGCGCGGCCGCGCCGACGCTCCCAACGGCGCCCGCTGGCCGCGCCCGCGCATTTCCCGGACTCGGCGCGCGGCCACGCCGACGCGCCCGACGACGCTGGGCAAGCCGCGCCCGCGCGCTCCGACGCGCTGCCCCAGCCGCGACGCCGGGTTTGATGCGAGGTCTATGCGGGGCCGCGCCGCCGCGCCCGACACCGCTGGCCCGGCCGCTCGGCCGCGCCGCCGCGCCCGACATCGCCAGGCGGCCGCGCCCGCGCGTTTGACAGGACTGGGCTCGGCCGCGCCGCCGCGCCCGAGATCGCCGGCCGGCCGCGCCCGCGCATTTGACATCGCTCCCCTCGGCCGCGCCGACGCGCCCGACATCGCGGGCCGGCCGCGCCCGCGCGTTCCACGAGGCTGGGCTCGGCCGCGCCGACGCGCCCGAGATCGCGGGCCGGCCGCGCCCGCGCATTTGACAGAACTTGTTTCCGCCGCGCCGCCGCGCCCGACATCGCCGGCCGGCCGCGCCCGCGCGCGTCGCAAAACTGGGCTCGGCCGCGCCGCCGCGCCCGAGATCGCCGGCCAGCCGCGCCCCGCGCGTTTTAAAGGACTGCGGCGGGCCCGCGCCGCCGCGCCCGACATCGCCGGCCGGCCGCGCCCGCGCGCGTCGCGCATGGGCTCGGCCGCGCCGACGCGCCCGAGATCGCCGGCCGGCCGCGCCCGCGCGTTTACAACTATCGGCTCGGCCACGCCGACGCGCCAGGCGTCGCCGGGCAGAGCGCGCTGATCGTCCAGGCGCGCCCCGGCGGATCCCCGGGGGGGTGCCCGGGCGGCCCGGGCGGCCCCGTGCGGTTCTATTTTTTTGCTAAAAAATATTTGAAAAAAAGCGAATTATCCCGGCAAAGCAACCTAACAGCGATGTGTAGAAGCATATCTGAAAGCATTCCCCTTAAGATTCATATGAAAATCCAGTTGTAGAATTCTGCTGTTCTCGCAGTCGTAGTCGCATTCGCGATGACAGTCGCAGCGGCAACGGCAGTCGCAGTCACAGCCTCAGCCTCAGCCTGCCTCAGTCAGCCTCAGCCTCAGCCTGCCTCAGCCTCAGCCTCAGCCTGCCTTCAGCCTCAGCCTCAGTCTGCCTTCAGCCTCGGCCTCAGCCTCAGCCTGCCTCAGCCTCAGCCTGCATCAGCCTCAGCCTCAGCCTCAGCCTGCCTCAGCATCAGCCTGCCTCAGCCTCAGCCTCAGCCTGCCTCAGCCTCAGCCTCAGTCTGCTTCAGCCTCAGCCTCAGTCTGCCTTCAGCCTCGGCCTCAGCCTCAGCCTGCCTCAGCCTCAGCCTGCCTCGGCCGCAGCATCAGCCTGCCTCAGCATTCAAAATGTGGCCCAGGAGTGGAGTTCTGGGAGCTAGAAGAACACGAAGTGGCCCCGGGCATTCAAAATCATGCCCAGGAATGAAATTCTGGGAACTTGAATAGCACGAAGTGGCCTACAGTTGGCTCCGGGCATTCAAAATCATGCCCGGAAATGGAGTTCTGGGAAGTCGAAGAGCACGACGCGGCCTACAGTTTGCTCCGGGCATCCAAAATGTGGCCCGGGAATGGAGTTCTGGGAAATCGAAGAGCACGAAGTGGCCCACGGTTGGCTCCGGGCATTCAAAATGTGGCCCGGGAATGGAGTTCTGGGAGCACCAAGAGCGATTCTGCGAGGATGTCTCAAGCGATTTGGGTGGCGGCGGCGGAGCGCCGGCAGCCTCCCCGGGCCCCGCCCAGACCCCCCTGAGGAGTCATGATGCTCTCTTTTGAGACCACTAGAAACCTATCAGCAAGAGCTGTTACTGGCGTAGCGACTTCGGTTTAGCAAAGTAGAGTGCCTTATCATACTTATAGATGTAGTTGTCTCAGATGCAAATGTACTTACCGAAGCCGCAACTACACTTACACGGGGCCCCTAACCATACTTACACAACAACTTATAACCGACATATAACCATCTTATAACTTTCATAACTTCTTCAATTTCCATGCCCCTCCCCTCCCCTCCCCCCCTGTGGTTCGGTAGTTAGCCAGTAGGACGGCGAGAAGAAAGGAGGGGGGAAGGGCGATGACAGCGATGCATTCGCTAACGCATTCCTGGGTATGAGCGATAAATTCGCTATGTGGTTCTCTGAGCGATCAATTCGCTGTGCAATTATCTGAGCGATCAATTCGCTATAAGCGATGAATTCGCTATGTGGTTCTCTGAGCGATCAATTCGCTGTGCAATTATCTGAGCGATCAATTCGCTATAAGCGATGAATTCGCTGTGCAATTATCTGAGCGATCAATTCGCTATAAACGATGAATTCGCTATGAGGCCCCTGCCCATGCCGCCCCCACTGCGCCATCATTCGAAGCCGTTTGCATACGCAAGCCCGCGCGTTTTTTTTTTGGGGGGGGGTGGGGCCGCATAGCCATGGCTGCCCAGCGCTTGCGCGACCAAGTCGAGGCCGTCGGGCGATTGCTCGAGGCAGTGCAAGGGCAGCCCTGTTTCGATACGGTGGCGGCCGCGCAGGAAAGGATGCTCGTGCAGGCTTTCGGGAGCGCGAGGCTGCAGCCCACGCAGGTGACAACCCTCTCGTCTCTCGTCGCAGCGCAACCCTGGTCCGAGGTTTCCAAGGGGAGGCTGTTGGAGAAGCTCGGCAGCATCGTGGCTTCTGGCAGCGCCGTGGGTTTGCGAATGGCTCAGCAGGATTATGAGTGCATCTTCGGGTACCTGACAGCGGGCTCGTGGCACCAGTTGGCGCGGACCGACGTGCCCGAGGAAGCGAAGCTCAACGTGCTGGTTGATGTTGCGATTAGCTTAAGTCTTCGCAACCCGACCGAAGGCACGTATCATATGTTGACGGCGATGTGGCGCATGGCCGTGGACGGAGCCGAGGCCGCGAAGAATTTGGCGCGGGCTGCAAAGTACTCGTACCTCCAGCAGACCAAGCGCGTGTTCAAGCGCCAGGCTGCAGCTGAAATTGCGGCCCTCGTCGAGGGGAGGGAGACCTAGGAGAAGGGAGGGTGGGGGAGGAGGAGGAGGAGGAGGAGGCAGTTTCCCCTGGCCGCAATTTCACCCACGAAGGTTTCGAGGCTTCCTGCGCCCCCCGTTCGGCTGACCGAGCTGCCTACGTCCCCCTCGACGTTCTGCGGGAACCACCCTGACTTCTTCAAGCAAGTGTATGGCGACGAGTTGCCAGCTGCATGCCCCGCGCCAGAAGCCGCGATTCGCTCCGTCCAGGCTACGTACCCATGCCGCAACACAAAGCAGCAGGCCACGGGGGCGCAGATGATGAGCGCCTCGGCGTCGCAGCCCGACGTTTTGCAGATGATGCAGCTCATGTTCGATAACTTGCGGCGGGCGGACGTCGGCGCTCAGACGGGCCCTTTGAACCTCAAAATCCTGGGAGGCGGCGCGAAACGTGCCGCGGCCTCGGCGTTCGCAGCCGTGGAGGACGCTGCCCCGAGTTCTCTTCCAGCTTCCGCCTCAGAAGGGGCACCGTCGCCAGCAGCGCCAACGCCACCGTCGCCAGCGACGCCTGCAGCAACCAGCGTCGCCAAAGGGAACGCGACTCCCCCCAAGAAGGAGGATGTCGCCTCGGTCACCGAGGACATCCTGCACGGACTCGTGACCAAGGAGAAGGGGGAGGGCCCGAAGCCGAAGGCAAAGGGGAAGGCAAAGGGGAAGGCGAAAGCAAAGGCGACGAAGGCTGGGGCTAAGACGACGGGCGAAAGCCACGGGAAGGGCGTCACCGTGTCACCCCTGTTCAAGCCCATCAAAAAGCTCGGGTGTTCGAAGTGTCGTTACGCCAAAAAGGAGTGCTCGAGTTGCAAAGAGCGGCTCAGGATTTCAAAGCTGCTGGGTAAGTAGCTCATAATGTGTGTAGGTTTCCTGAGGCGCTCTCGGCCGCGCTGGGTCCGCCACGCACTTTGCCCATAGTCATGCTACGGTGTTTCGGACAGAGCGTCCAATGCATTTCGCTACCGCGCTTCTGTATATGGGGCCCTGGAGAGCGCATCCTAGCGTTTGGGCAAGCCGCGCGAGCGCCCCAGGGAACCCTGCCGCTCACTTTTACTCTTGTGAGGGCGTGCCTTACCGTTGCCTGCGATCACAAAAAAAACAGCGATCCACTCGCTAAGCGATTCATTCGCTTGGGGATAGACAGGGTGAGAGGGGTGAGAGGGGAGAGTGATGGACCGCTGACTTGGAGAGGGGTAGGAGGGGTGAGAGGTGTGAGAGGGGTGAGAGGGGAGAGGGAAGAGAGGAGGGTGAGAGGGGAGAGTTATGGATGAGGCCTCGACCCCTCAAGCCAACCCCCAACCCTGCGTCAGCGATGCATTCGCTTTCCTCCGACCCCCCATCGAAGCAGCGCTCCCTTCACCTCAGCCCTGTGTCAGCGATGCATTCGCTTGCTCGCGGAGCGCCCCTGCGACCGTGCCTTCGCATTGCCATTTCGGCTCAAGGCCTCGGCTCAAGGCCTCGGCGGCCGCGCCAGCGACAGTGGCCGACGACGCGGAGAGGTCACTGCAATCGTTGCTGTCTTTGGGCAACCCCTTTGCGCAGTTCCAGGATGGGGCCCAGAAGAGCGGGGGCGCTGGCGACGAATCGCGCATGAATCCAATCTCAAACTCAGAGCCCCGCATGAGTCCCATCTCAGACTCAGAGTCCGAGGGGCGGAGCGCCGCCGACAAAGGCAAAGGCTGCAAGGGCGGGTGGCGCGCCAGCGGCAAGGGCGAGCCCGACAGCGGCGGCGAAGCGGAGAACCCGAGGCGCAAGCAAGCGAGGATGACCTTCTTGTGGAACACCCCGCAGGCTCTCAAGGACGAGGAGGACATGGCAAAGCAGTTCGCCGTGCCATGGGCCATGCGCGGCCCGCCTCCTCCAAGCGAGGGGGGGCCGACGATGTGGCGCGGCAACATATGGTCAGAAGGCGAGCGGCGTTGGAAGAAACGCGGTGGCACGTCCAGGGAGTTCTTCGAGGAGAAGTACGGCTACGGCGGCTGGGGCTGGCAAGCAGGCCACGTGCCGAAGCGGCCTTCGGGCTACAAGGGCATGGGCGGCGGCAAGGGCGCCTCTTCCAGGAGCGGCAAAGGCCAGGAGCAGAGCAAGGGCGGCGCCTTCTCCGAGCGCAGCAAGGGCGGCAAGGACGGCAAGGGCAGCAAGGGCAGCGCCCCCGAAGGCGCGCGGGCGCCGCGGGCGCAGGCCGCCTGGAACCCTCATGACCTCGAGGACATGTGAGAAAAAAACAAGCGATTGACTCGCTATGCAGTTCACAAGCGATTGAATCGCTATGCAGGTCACCTCTCTCGTCTATCTCTCCTCTCTTCGTCGCGATCCAGGCCAAAATCCCCACGCCACCCTCCGCCGCGATCCAGGCCAAAATCTCCGCGGCGATCCACGCCACGGGCGCCGTTCGTAGGTCAAAATCTCCGCGGCGATCCAGGCCGAAATCTCTGGTCTCAGTTTTTGGGCGGGCCCTTCGTAGGAATTTACTGACGCCAAAAATGGGTCCCAGATTTGGCGGCCCCTTCGTGGGATGTTATTGACGCAAAGAAGGGCCCCAGATTTGGCGAGCCCCTCGTGGGAAGTTACTGACGCAAAGAAGTGCCACAGATGCGGCGGGCCGTTCTCTCCCCCCTTCGGTCGCCTCGGCTTGCTCGACCTCCTCGCTCAGCCCCCATTCGATGCGTCGGCATCCTTGCACCCCTGCCCGTTGCATTTCCTCTCAGCGATTGCATTCGCTCCATGGGGCGGGCCGCGCGAGTAGTCATCTGCATTCGTCTGGGCTCAATCTGTTTAGAGCGGTTTTCTTTCTCAGCGGCCAAGGGCCAAGGCGCGCTCGGCGGGCAGCGATGGATGGGCCGTCGGAGGCCGCGAGTTCCAGCGGGAGTGAATGGCTGTGGCGCGGCTTTTGCCCTCGCGGCGATTGCAAGAAAGCTGGTTCTTGCATCTTCTCGGGCCCTGACAGGGAGCTCGTGAGGGAAAAGGTGGCGAACCGCTCGTGGTGTTCTACCTACCACAGCGACGACAACGCCCTCGAGTGGGAGGCGGCGCTGCAGGAGGCAGACAATGACGCGTTCATTGTCTACGAGCTGGGCACGCAGAAGAGCAAGAAGCGCCCCGCGCCACCCGTGGAACCGCAGCCAGGGCGGGCCGTTCAACAGCGGTCTTCAGGACCAGTCGGCCAGTACAAGTCGAAGACAGTGGTGACGCGAGACATCACGGTGCGCAAGGGCGAGCTGCAGCAGGTCATGGATTGCCTTGACAGGTCTCTGACGGCGACGGAACGCGCCGCGACCATCGCACGCAGCGCAGCGAAGGCGTTCGAGGACAGCGCTGCTGCGATCTCGGGCGCCAAGAAGACGCTCGAGAGCATCTGCACGCGCCGCGTGGGCTGAGCCACTCCAAGACGCGGCCTGCTGCCCTGCGCTCGGCCTGTCTCGGGGGCCCGCCGCTTCTTTGAGAAAAGAATAGCACCCTCGTGACCCAACCTGAGCGATCGAATCGCTGGCTCTTCCTCGAAACCCCATTTGAGCGATCGAATCGCTGGCTCCTCTTCAGCCCGCCCATGCGCGACCCGCCAAGATGAGAGGGGAGAGGAGGAGGGGGGGGGAGGAGAAAGTAAAGAGGAGGGTTGAGAGAGGATGAGGATGAAGAAGAGTAGGAGGAGGAGAAGGAGGAGAAAAACCGAGAAGGACAGATCAGAGAGAAAAGGAGAAGGCCCGAGAGGGAGCGTCAATATTCGTTACAATTTTGACGCTCGTTTCTGGTGTGGTTTCGGATACCGCATGCCCACCCACCCTCCAAGCCCTACGGCGATTGGTGGTCCAACGGTGGTCCAACGGTGGTCCAACATGGGTGGTCCAACAGAAGGTGGTCCAACGTGGTCCAACGGTGGTCCAACGGTGGTCCAACAGGGGTCCAACGCGTTGGACCACCGTGGTCCAACGGTGGTCCAACGGGGGTCCAACGTGGGTGGTCCAACGGTGGTCCAACGTGACGTCGCCATCCGTGGTTTGCGCTTTTCTGTTTGGATGGGGGCGGGGGGGGGGCGAGAGAGCGAGGATCGCTGAGACCGCGTTTCGCTTGCTGAGGTTAGCGATGCACTCGCTGTAACTAGCGATACACTCGCTCAGACAAGCGATTCACTCGCTCAGACTAGCGACTCGCTCGCTCAGACGCGCTCCCGAGCTCACGACCCCACTGCGCCCTGCTGCAGCCACTCTGGGCTCAAAGCCTCGCTTCCTGCTCTCGGGTCGCTCGGGAGCGCTCGCGCAACCGAGGTATGGACGAGCCTGCGGCGCGCCTGCTGCAGCAGATGTCGGCTGCCGCCCCGCCGCGCGTCTCCGCCCCGCCCAAGCACGTGGAGGTCAAGAAGCAGTGCTCGCTGTTCGAGTTCTCCGTCGTGGCTTCGGCGGCCCGCGCGGGGCAGCTAGACGACGTCAAACAGGAACCCCCCGAGGGGCCAGAGGAAACCCCCGAGGGAGAGCCAGTGACACTTGCCGAAGAGCTAGGGATGGCCCCAGAGGATGCCGCCGAAGTGGCCGCTCACGGCGCCAGCCGCGCAGGCAAGGCCAAGCGCCCTCCCAAGAAAACGAAGGCCAGGGCAGCCAAGGCAGTGGCAGGCCCTGCGCCCGAGGAGGACGACTGGTCCTGGGAGTGGGGGCCCAAACCCGAACACCTCGACGAAGGAGGCGACCGCGGCGGCGCGGCTGCGCCCGCAGTTGAGAAGAAGAAGGGGGGCAAGAAGAGGAGGGCCTCCGAAGGCGCCGAAGGCTGGCCAGCCGACGCCGACGGCGACGGCGCCGACGCAGACGAGGCCGGGACTGGCGGAGACGACGGCGCCGAGGGCGCCGACTACGGCGTCAGCGGCGAGGACGGCGAGAAGGCCAAGAAAAAGAAGAAGGGGAAGAACAAGGGGAAGCGCTCCAAGACCGCCAAAAAGAAACGCAAGAAAACGGCCGCGCCGAGGAGCTCGGAGGTCCCGACAGAACCCGCCGAGGTCCAGCCACCGTGCGCCGCTGCCCCTGATCAGACGGCTATCGACGCGGTGCCGCGCTTCGATCGCAACCCCGTTTGCACCAAGTGCAAGAAGCCCGTGGAGCCGCTCGCAGCAAGGATTGTAGGCAAGAAAAGGAGTGTTTGGCAGTGCTCAACGCGCAGTTCGCGGTACACTCAGCTCCACAAGATTTTCGGAAGATGGCCGCCACAATCCTTCAAGTCGCTTTCACAGGAAGAGAAAGATACTTTTTGGAACGACGTCAAGGAGGCGAACGGGAAGGCAGAGGTCGAGAAGATTGCGATGGAAACGTTCACGAGGGTATACCGCGAGAGCCGCGCCTCAGGCAGGCAAGGGAAGTACCTCCCACTCAGCGTCTACAAGAAGAAGGGCTACTCCGCAAAGAGGATTAAGAGGCTGTGCAAAGACAAGAAAAAAGACGATGTCCTCGGCA